GCTCTGTTTCTGGGTCTGGCGATATGAGGAGCTAGACGGCTGGGACTGCTCCCGCTCAGCAGTCCCAAATACCTGGGGCCGGCGAGGGAGGAAGCACTGGAATGCCGCCGGTTGCTTCTTCGCCTCCTGAAACCTCTCGACAACAGTGTCTACTGCGCTGCTGAAGAGGCCAGAGGCGATAGCAGGAAGAATCTGTCCTTATCTTATAACTCGGACAGATTTAACCACAGGTGTCGCTCCGTGGCCACGAGAGCTGCCATGGAATGGCCGATGGCTCTGGCCGTTTCCTTGGTGGCCCGAAGCAACAGATCTGTGGCCCGACGCAGTTCTCTCCCTCCCTAACGTCCAAGTCTTTTAGCAGTTCGGCTTGGTACGCCTGCAACACCGCCATAGTGTGCAGACATGCACCAGCCTGACCTGCCGCCGTATATGCTTTCCCAACCAGGCTGGATGTTAGTCTTACTGGCCTGGTAGGAAGCTTCGGGGCCTTCAGGGACGATGCTGAGGACGGGGACAGATAGCTCGCAAACGTCTGTTCCACCGCCGGCACCGCCCCATATCCCTTCTCATTTAGCCCCGTAATGTTCGAATAATGATTAACAGAGGGGCTAAAGAGTCGGGACGAATACGGTTTATCCCACGATCTCGAAAGCTCGGAATGGAGATCAGGGAAAAATGGAAAGCCCTGACGTGAAGGTTGCAATCTTGCTCTAAGGAAACACTCGTCCAACTTGCTTTTGGCATGAGCGTCCTGTTTCTCGGCTGGCCATTCGATATTTAATTTAGCTACAGCACGAGTAACAACCTCCACGAGCTCCTCATATGTGAGGGACTGTGGTGGGGAGTCCACAATCTCCCGATTATAGCACTTAAACACGGATCTCACTTAAAACTCAGTTTTCACAGAAATATTAAGCAGTACAACTGTTTTAAACATTGATAATAACAATAAATATTGCTTGGTCACCAAATCAGCATAGTAGAATGATTTCTAAAGGATCTTGTAACACAGAAGACTGAATAGAAAATGGTTATTTTAAATTGTGATAATATTTCAAAATATTACTGTTTTATTGTATTTTGATTAAATAAATGCAGCCTTGGTGAACACAAGAGACTTCTTTCAAAAACATTCTTACCAACCCCAAATTTTTGTATTGTAGTGTACCTAAATAATATCTCCTCCATTTTGACGGTGACTGTATCATGCTCATGAGGTTTGTTCCCATCCTGGCAATGTCAGAAGAGTTACAGTATGTCAGTCAAGCTTTCGTGTCTGCGTTTGCATCCTTACATTACATAAAGGATATTTCTGGCCTTATTTCAGAAAGCTCCCCAAGCTCACTCAGCAGCTACACTGGAGATGTATTCTGCATGCCATATGGTAGGAATTACTGTAAATGTCTATATTCATTACTGTGAGGATCACTAGCAGAAATAGGAAAGCAGCGCTTCTCTGTGATCACCACTCTGCAGTTAAGAGACCACACATCCCCACATGTTCTCCCTGGTTAGAGCTCTGTTTACTCACAGTGTGGCTCTTACTGGCATCCAGACAGCTGTGTAGTACGATGAGGCGTTATGGTTAAAGAAATCATCACACAGATGCTAATTGTCATCAGAAAATGCACATTTCACTAGTACTTTCACTTATCTCTGTTTCTTTCTCAGTGACGAAGACGGTGTGTGCCGAGCAGTGTGATGGCCGATGTTTTGGGCCGTACGTCAGTGACTGCTGTCATCGCGAGTGTGCTGGAGGCTGTTCAGGACCGAAGGACACGAACTGCTTCGTATGTCTTCAGTATTCCTGTAACACACTCACACACTCAATCATATTGGGGACTGCAGTGTCTTGTCGATTAGCTCTGCCACTAGTTGATGATTTTGTGCTGTGTCGACTAGTCACAGATCACATGACTTCAGTTTGCTCTATATGGTGACAGCAGGATGAAAATTCCTTTGTCCACAAACTGTGTTCTTGTGTATTTGCCTGTCATAGTCAAATATAAAGACAAAGTCTGAGTCCACTAGCAATTTTGCATGTTTCTATTTTAATACAGGTTTTTTTTCATTACCATTTATTTGATCTGCATCATAATTTAAATGAAACTTTAAAGTATTTAAAGTTAACAAAGATAAATATTTCTAAAGCATTTATTGATCATAGTTAATAAGAACTTCAACATTTACTAATACATTATTAAAATAAACTGATGTATTTGTTCATATTATTTAATGGACTTGAACTAACATGAACTAACAATGAAAAAAAAATTTTTTTAGGTTAACAAAAATGTATAAACACTGTGACAAATATTTTGTTCATTGTAAGTTAATGCATTTACAAATGTTAAATAATGAGACCTTTTTGAAAAGTGTTACCAAGTTAAATTGAAAAATTAACATGACTTTCAGAATGTAAGGATTTTTTTATTTTATTTTATTTTATTACATTACATTACATGATCAGCATCACAATTTGAGTGAAAAGTTGAACTGAAAAAAAATGACATGAATTTCATAATGTTAGGATTTTTTTATTTTGCTTTGTTTTGTTTTATTACAAATTAAATGATACGCACCACAATGTGAGCGAAAAGTTGAACTGAAAAAAATTAACATGGATTTCAGAATGTTAGGATTTTTTTTATTTAATTTTTGTTTTATTTTGTTTTGTTTTATTACAAATTACATTATCAGCATCACAATTTGATTGAAAAGTTGAACTGAAAAAGATTTTCAGTATAATTTTAATATTTTATTTTTTTTATAATTTTTTTTTATTACAAATCACAATCAGAGTGAAGGTTTGAACTGGAAAAAAAATTAACATGAATTTCAGAATGCCTCAGTATTTGGTATTTTGTTAGCTTTAATGGCAGCAGCACTTGAGCTGCGTGAACTTCACAAATTTGTGTCAAAGGTTATAATGTTCTCCAGCATGATTTGAGATGATTCACTGAGATGATCTAAGGGGTATCTTGAGCTTCAAAGGAAGCAAGAACATATCAATGAGGATTCTTTGAACCCCACTGTATGTAAAATTATGCAAATGTAAAAGTCCAGTGAAACCGGAGTCGTCATGCTCATAAACATCAAATCAACGACTAGTCGACTTGTCTGGGCTACTAGTTATGTAGTTGTACAAGCCTTAACTCCAGTTTTTACATCCAGTGTCAACCCACTCGCGCACAACCCTCTTACAGATGTCTTAGTATGTAATAACTTTTTTCCCCAAACACACACACACACTTTCTGTCAGTCATCTGCGGCTTTATCAGCCATCCCATAAAACTGCAATTGTAGAAGTGTTTCAGTAACAGCGGCAGACCCATTCCAGCTCCCTAACCTTATCTTTTGAGTTTTTGTTCAGCTGTGGTATTCACTTCTCCAAAAGAGATCCATGATGCCTACAGATGACTAGCTTTTGACCAGAAATCTCCCTATAGGAAATGTTCTTTGCACCGGCGATACCATTAAAATCTCATTTCCTCCCACAATGCCTTGCTGTGAATGAGAGTGGGGGCCACACCTCGGTAGCTCTTTTGTTACTTGCTGCCTGGGCAGATCCCGACCGTCTCTGACTGCTCCTCGCTCCTCCGGCCCTCGGAGAAAGCGATTTATCGCACCTCTCTGGTTTTTTAATTAGTTATCCTCAGCTGTAATCATTGATATTGTACTTCTCGATTGTTCCCTTTTAATTGAAGAGGCACTTTCGCGCCATGCATTGGGATTTGGATCAATGCCTTAATTTTTTTTTCAGCAGCTCTAAGGCAGAAAACAGTTCTCATGTGTTTCTGAAGTCAGATTTATAAAGCAAAGAGCTTTTTCTATTCCGTAAGCCTGTTTGAATCATTATTTATTAGTTGCATTGTTTATTTATATTGCTTATATGCAGTATTGGTGTTGCTTGGCATACTTTTCTGTGGGTCGAAGATGATTAGCGGAGCAATTTTGCATTCTGGCACTTTCTTCTATATTGCATAATGTCCTAAAATAAGACTCTACGAGTAGCAACACAAGTTTTTGTCAGCTGTTTTATTTAATAAATGTGTATTTCTGTCAATAACCTTGTTTCTTTGTGTCCAGGCCTGCACTAATTTTAACGACAGCGGTGCGTGTGTGACGCAGTGCCCTCAGCCCTTCGTCTACAACCCCACCACGTTCCAGCTGGAGCACAACCCACGGGCCAAATACACATATGGAGCATTCTGCGTCAAAAAGTGCCCACGTAAGACAGACAGAGAAAACCAATACAAACATGTGTATGCTTACACGCACACTTCTAGCTGAATCTTTCACTCACATAAATGGATATCAGGTGCCATGTTGAGGTGCGTTTACATTCGGGAATGTAAGCATGTTTCAGATTGAATGCAAATGAGGCGGATCGGCTGCACCTGAGTCCTCGTGCTTTTCTGAGCCCCTGATGTGGTGAAGGGCTGCATGTAGAGCCCCAGGAGTAGGCCTGTCTGCTAAATCTCACTCAGCTTCTTGACCTCTGGTTTCCCCACTGACTTGAAGGAGGAAGAAAGAAAGAAAGAAAGAAAGAAAGAAAGAAAGAAAGAAAGAAAGAAAGAAAGAAAGAAAGAAAGAAAGAAATATCTGGAGGCCAGGGGTCTTCAACAGAGGATCTGTTGCAGTACTGCAGGGGGTCCACCAATTATTGTTTGATCTCAAAATAATTAGGCATTAAAAACTACATTAAGTTAACCCTCATGTTCTGATGAGAAATATTTTTATTTTTGATACTCAGAGACCAATAATGTTTGTGTAAATTGTTGTGCATTGTTTATTTATTTAATTTAATTTTTTACTACAAAGCACTCATGTGCTTTACAGAACTGTGACTGCAAAAGGCAGAGTTTGAATTTGAATGACACATAGCAATCAGAAATTGAAAATCAATATTAATAATAATATGAAATGTTTCTTGAACATTAAATCAGAATATTATAATGATTTCTGAAGGATCATGTGACATTTAAGACTGGAGTAATGGCTGCTGAAAATTCAGCTTTGTGATCACAGGAATAAATTATATTTTAAAATATATTAATATAATATACCAGGCCTGCACTAATTTTAACGACAGCGGTGCGTGTGTGACGCAGTGCCCTCAGCCCTTCGTCTACAACCCCACCACGTTCCAGCTGGAGCACAACCCACGGGCCAAATACACATATGGAGCATTCTGCGTCAAAAAGTGCCCACGTAAGACAGACAGAGAAAACCAATACAAACATGTGTATGCTTACACGCACACTTCTAGCTGAATCTTTCACTCACATAAATGGATATCAGGTGCCATGTTGAGGTGCGTTGACATTCGGGAATGTAAGCATGTTTCAGATTGAATGCAAATGAGGCGGATCGGCTGCACCTGAGTCCTCGTGCTTTTCTGAGCCCCTGATGTGGTGAAGGGCTGCATGTAGAGCCCCAGGAGTAGGCCTGTCTGCTAAATCTCACTCAGCTTCTTGACCTCTGGTTTCCCCACTGACTTGAAGGAGGAAGAAAGAAAGAAAGAAAGAAAGAAAGAAAGAAAGAAAGAAAGAAAGAAAGAAAGAAAGAAAGAAAGAAAGAAAGAAAGAAAGAAAGAAAGAAAGAAAGAAAGAAAGAAAGAAAGAAAGAAAGAAAGAAAGAAAGAAAGAAAGAAAGAAAGAAAGAAAGAAAGAAAGAAAGAAAGAAAGAAAGAAAGAAAGAAAGAAAGAAAGAAAGAAAGAAAGAAAGAAAGAAAGAAAGAAAGAAAGAAAGAAAGAAAGAAAGAAAGAAAGAAAGAAAGAAAGAAAGAAAGAAAGAAAGAAAGAAAGAAAGAAAGAAAGAAAGAAAGAAAGAAAGAAAGAAAGAAAGAAAGAAAGAAAGAAAGAAAGAAAGAAAGAAAGAAAGAAATATCTGGAGGCCAGGGGTCTTCAACAGAGGACCTGTTGCAGTACTGCAGGGGGTCCACCAATTATTGTTTGATCTCAAAATAATTAGGCATTAAAAACTACATTAAGTTAACCCTCATGTTCTGATGAGAAATATTTTTATTTTTGATACTCAGAGACCAATAATGTTTGTGTAAATTGTTGTGCATTGTTTATTTATTTAATTTAATTTTTTACTACAAAGCACTCATGTGCTTTACAGAACTGTGACTGCAAAAGGCAGAGTTTGAATTTGAATGACACATAGAAATCAGAAATTGAAAATCAATATTAATAATAATATGAAATGTTTCTTGAACATTAAATCAGAATATTAGAATGATTTCTGAAGGATCATGTGACATTTAAGACTGGAGTAATGGCTGCTGAAAATTCAGCTTTGTGATCACAGGAATAAATTATATTTTAAAATATATTAATATAATATAATATTTTTGTTACTGTATTTTGATCAAATAAATGAAGCTTTGGTGAGCATTAGAGACTTCTTTAAAAAATATTACAAAATCTTACTGATCCCAAACCGATCTTATGAAATGTAAACGTGTTATGAAATATTGTTTTAATCAGAAACGTCATGAATTATCAACCTGATAGTGTTCAGTATGTTTTCTGAGCTATTAAATGATCTTTGAGTCTCTGAACAGAATTCCCACAGTCATAGATTACCTGGTAATATTAGGGAATCTGAAAAATTAATTTCCGGGTTATGGAAATGAACAAAACATTTAATTGGCTAGAAGGCTTCTTTTTAAATGCCAACTCTATAAATTTCATGAACGGCTGGAAAAGTCCTGGGAAAATAATAGAAATTCATTGGCCAGACCCCAAATAGAACATAAGGGTTAACTTCAAACACAGTTAAATATTTTATTGTCAATTCCACATTAAAATTGTATAAGTAAGATTAAAAAGTGATGTACAAGTACATTGTTAATGTTTGATTTAATGGCCTTGCAATATCAGGACCAAAAGAATGTAAATATATGCATGCATGCAATTCAACACCATATAAAACAAAGGGTTTCTGTGTTCTTCTCTATCCAGTGTGAGTAGACCTGATAGGGTAATTACAGAGATAAGAATCTTGAGTTTTTTTCATTGAAACGACAGAGGTTTCTTGTGAACTGACGTGATTTCTTTGAAAAGAAGAGAACATTGAAAGAGAAAGTAACAGCGGAAGAATGAAAGAGAGCTGTGATAACAGTGATGATAGGTGAGCGCGAGTGTCATTATCCCCCCTTGCTGGGCCGCCACTGCTGTAGAATGAAGGGTTTGCACACTGACAGACACCCACTCCAGTGCTCAGTCCACGATGAATGTTATTGCGCAGTACTCGAGAGACCCTCCCCAAAACCCAACCCGCCCTCTGCAGTCACACAAGGCCACTTTATTCAATGGGACGACAGTGAAATGCTCAGTTTGGCTTAGTTTCTCTTAGCTGTTAAGTGAGGGTTGTGTTTTTTACCCAGGGTTATTTGTTCTTCTGGTGTCACATTTTAAATCGCATAAAATTCAAGGCATTGATGTTTGCCTACAAAACCACCACTGTCTCTGCACCCCTTTACCTAAATTCATTACTTTAGACGTATGTGCCCTCTAGAAGCTTGCATTCTGCAAGTGAACATCGCTTTATTGTGCCATCCCAAAGAGGCACAAAATCACTTTCACGCACTTTTAAATTAAATGTTCCCTCCTGTTGGAATGACCTGCTCAACTCAATCTGAGCAGTCCTTAGCCATCTTCAAGAATCTGCTAAAAACACATCTCTTCCATCTTTGTTTTACCCTCTAACTCTAGCACTCTCTATTCTAATTCTATTCTTTAAAAAATGCCCCTTTTAGACTTGCACTCTACTCATTTGCTTACTGCTTGTTTAAAAAAAAAAAAAAAAGCAAACACTAGCTTTTCTATTCTTTTTTTATTCTATCTGTTTTCTTTTTATTTATTATATAATTTTAAAAAACCTTGCTATGTGTACTGTGTTAAGCTAACTGAGACTTGTCATTGCACTTGTGTATCATTGCTCTTTTGTTGATTCTGATTGCTTCCATTGTCCTCATTTGTAAGTCGCTTTGGATAAAAGCGTCTGCTAAATGAATAAATGTAAATGTAATGTCTAGTTCTTCACTGTAAGAGTCTGAGATTCATATTACATGTAAGAGGTGAAGAGAGATGTCCGCACTTGAGAGCTCCATCTTCCTTTATCTGTCCCTCCATGATCCCCTCTCTCCTCTCTGGTGATGGATGCCAGGCTGCACAGTCTCTACCGGAAATGGGCTCTTTCCATCACGCACACACGCCACAGTCACGGTCCCCACTGCGTCGGCGCGGATGTGTTAGTGGTTTCTGTCTGAGAATGGATGTTTCTTCTCTACCATTACAAAATGTCAATGGCCTTTTTCACAGAGATTGCTTAGAGTTTGTTCAGTGGCACGCCGCCGTCTGACTGTTTGTTCTGCCTCTGTGTGTGGTGTGACAGATAACTTTGTGGTGGACCACAGCTCCTGTGTCAAAGCCTGTCCCAGCAACAAGATGGAGGTGGAGGAGAACAGAATCAAGATGTGCATCCCCTGCACTGATATTTGCCCAAAAGGTTATTACATGCACCATCAAACTCACCAAAATGCTCATCAAAGTTCACCAAAGTTGTCAGTACCAATACCAGTGAAATTTCACAATTTGTGATACCAAAACTAAAGCTTAACTTCTGTTGAACATACTCCTTTATTTATAACATTATTATTTTAGTATTGTTTATTTACAGTTATTGTACTATTGACTCTTATCGTATATAATTACAATATTTTTATTTTAGTTGTAGTTTTAATCATTTTAGTACTTTAGCTTAAACTTCATTATTTCAGGTTCCACATTTCTACTTTAATTTTCTCATAACATTTATGTTGTATTTTATTTCAGCTTTATTTTACTTAACAAAAATTATTTTTTTTAAATAGTTTTAGTTAATAACAAAATGGATTTATAAATGTATCTAATTTAAATATAATTCATTTTAGTTAATAATAACAACACTGATTTAAAAAATATATTTAATTTAAATGTAATTAATTTAAATTATATAATTATTCATATTGTATCATATCATTTATGTACTTTTTTCTCTGAAAACAAAGAAAAGAAACAATTGTTTAAACAATCGAAACAATAGATTGAAATAATTAAAATTATATATTATAATTTTATATATTTACAAAATATTTATATACATTTATATTATATTATTATTTATATCATACTCTATAATGTACTGTTTATACATGTTTTTTTTCTCTGAAAACAAAGAAAAGAAACAATTGAATGCAATATACAAATACTTGACACTTAAAAATACATGATACTACTAATGCTATAGACAGACAGATATTGTTTTTTGAAGTTCACTGGTTACTGTGGTTGTTGTTACTACATCGACTTTTTTTGTCATTAGCTGATCAGTGGTGCGTTTCCCAAAAGCAACTATTGTCACAAGTTCCATCATTACCAATAGAGTTCAGTGAAACTTGCCACCATAGCTAACAGTGCTTTTGGGAATAGCACCCCTAGCTGATTGATCAGACCTTGCACCAACAAACAAACCATCTACCACATTACTAAAACATCTTAACCACCTTAAGTTGGTATGGCCCGATTTTCTATCAGGATCCAGATCTCCTTCAAACAGTGTAAGATGCTTTCACAATCATTCTGTCATTTTGCTCAATGGATTTTTTCATGACAGAGGTGATGAACACAAAGTTACCACCAGCCTTGGAAAATAAATAACTATTAAATGAACTACATTTTTCAATAATGCGACAAGTCACTCAGCTGTTTTCAGGGTAGTACAGCCTTTCCAGTAAACAAGCTACTTTGTCCAGCAAGCAGTGGTGTATTGTGAATTAAAGCAATGCATTACAGTACATGTATTGTGCACAGTGAACTGAGGCAATAAACACTTTTCTAGAATGTCATCTCTCTCTCATTTCACATAGGGTAGTCTGATTAATTTCAAACTCTGCTCTGATTGAAAATTAAAAAAAAAATCTTGTTGTTAAACATTTGAAAAGATATTGCTCTGTTGAATACTTTCTGTGTTAGTAGCTTGTTACTAGTTTCCACATACTGCAGTAATAATAGAAACAGTCAAAACCTTGGATACCAATTTCTTAAAGGGTCTATTTTTTTCTCTTAAAGTTTTAATCAAACATGATCTGAAATCTCTATTTTACACAGTTTTCTGGTTTATGTTGCAGCATGCGATGGGATCGGCACTGCTAGCCTTCAGACGGCTCAAACCGTCGACTCCAGCAACATAGACAGGTTCATCAACTGCACCAAGATCAACGGAAACCTGGTGTTCCTCATCACAGGCATTAAAGGGTGAGAGTGGCTTCTTCACAAACTCCGTTGACTCGCTTCACTGAATATCGCTTCACTGAATTAGCTGAATATCGGATATTGGATTGTCAGAAGCCATTTAACCTATGCTGCTTCTTTTTATCAGATGACATCAGCTTTAATGATGCAGGAGGGGATTCATGTAGAAGAAAAGCACTAGAGAAAGCCTTCACATCATGGCTGTGTAAAAAATCACTGGCCAGTTTAATAGCACGCATTAAAAGTGCCGTTAACACACTTTGCGAGTTTAGACAGTCAAGCAAGACCTACAAGACTTACTGACTCTCCAGACGGCCACAGTTAATGTGATTTTATATGAGAAATGTGCTGCCCCCTCTTTATATAAGTGCTGTGACATATTTGATTGTCAGATTGTCAAGAAGTCATTTGACCTCTGGTTGACCCGCTCCCTCCAGTGGCCTCTTTCTGATCCCGCTGCGCCTGATTGGCCGGCCCTCTAACCCCATATAGCTGACTCTGCTCTTAAAGAGCAATCCAGGGCCACCAGCCGCAGCATGCTGGGAAAAGCCATGTGCACACATATGCACATCCTGATAGGCATACAGATGACATCATCTCCAACACAAACTGATATGGAGTGCACATACTTCTTACACGTATTCCCCACGCGCACACTCTCATATGCTGCGTCAGCAGGTGTTCTGGACACGTCCTCCCCGAAGATCTTAAAACCTTCTATACTGCGCAACAGAGCAGCATAAGGCATGGAGACTTGGAAAAGATGGAGAAAATGCAGCATACTGGGATGGATGGGGTCAGAAGGCACTGGTCAGAGTGCATTTGTGTTGATAGTCTTCTGCCTGACTCTTCTCAGAGTTAGATTTAAGAGCTTGTTACACAATCAGCTTCATCTTTTAGCAAAATGTCAGATTTTCTTAACTGTAGAGATGTGGCTAGTATAATGTGTATTTGCTTCAATCTTAATGTGTATTACAGGGACGTATACCACAACATAGAGCCCCTGGATCCAGAAAAACTCAACGTGTTCCGCACCGTTCGAGAGATCACCGGTAAGTCAAATTAGTTTTATTTGGATTGGGTTTTTACATAATAATAATGGTAATATGATAAGGCACATACTTTATTTAAATAGATGTTGTATGGCAATATTGACTAGCTATGTCACATTTATAGTATTTTTTAAATTAATAAATGTATTTATTTAATCTGGAATTGATATGAACCTATTTCTAACTCATGCTGCCTGCAAAGTTTTTGGTAAAATAAATTCTTATTTTTATTCAGTAAGAACACATTAAAATTGACAAAAGAGGCAGTGAAGACATTAAATGTTACAAAAACATGAATTTCAAGTAAATGCTGTTTGTTTGAACTTTAAAAAAACTATGTATCATAGTTTACACTAAAGAATATTAAGCAGCACAACAGATGATAATAATAATAAATGCTTCTTCTTCAGCACCAAATGAGCATATTAGAATGATTTCTGAAGGATCATTTGACATGGAAAACTAGAGAAATTCAGCTTTGCCATCATAGGTATAAAATACAAAATACATTGAAGTTATTTTAATAATTTGTAATATTTTTTCATAATATTACAGTTTTTACTGTATTATTCATATATTCATATACTATCAAAAACATTTAAATAAATATTATCAATCCAAAATGGTAGTGTAAAAAAAAGTAGTTTGTTCGAATGAACCTTTGCTTATTAGATCATCATGTTGTTAGCTTAGCAACATGCTAACACAAACTGAAATTTTTCAGTTGAGTCACGTTTCCCGTGCTCTTTTTGTAAAGAGCTTTATTTGTGTAACACACTGACAGTATTCCAAAGCCTTCGGTAATAAGGTTCCAAATCAGTAAGGCTGCTGCCTTAGAAAGTAACAGAGAGTAAACAGCAAGGCAGCTTTTTACATTTTAGAACAGAGCCATTAATATACTTTCATAAAGAAGGGCCTGTGAAAAACTAGCTGATTCACATGTCCAGGTTTACATAATCCACCTGTCTTATTGAAAAATACATCAAAAACACATGGAACAAAGCACAGAGGAAGATCTACAGTAGTGTGTTTGTGCGTTTGTAGATTTGTGTGCGTGTGTGTGTGATGTGTGTAAAGGAGTTTGTGTTTGTACGAGTGTCCATTTCTCAGCGGGGAGGCCCTATATATGATGAATACATGATGAGGGAGATTTCTCCAACTGAGGAGAGCTTCCCACAGGAGATCAGGACTATTGACTCACAAGAAACATGAAAGCAGTTGAAAACACTTCTTTCTCTCTCTCCCTTTCACTCTTTACCTTTCTGGCTCTTTCTTTCCATGGTGACAGTGAAGAGGGCTCTCCAAGTCAGTGAGGCATGCATGTCAGGCTGTCACATCTATATGCAGGTGGCCACAGTCTCTGACAGAACAACGTCTTCACTGGCATGGTGTTATTTCTGCTCTGTGACCCCAGCTTGAAGACTTTGACAGATTCAGAGGCGCCTGCTTATATGTATTTCTTTACAGTGGGTTTTTTAATTGAATGTGCTTACTCAGTTTGACTGAATTTGGTGTACAACGCATGAAGAAGGTCATCTTGCTGTCAGGAGTTGAAGCTGCAAATAAAGACCCTTCAGATGGCTGTAAAACGCATAACCCCTATTCCTTAGCACCGACCAAGTCTGTTATTTAATTTTTGTATGACTCCCAGTAAACCCCAAACAACCCTGACTGACATTAAACGAACATTTCATAGCCTCAGTCGGATGCTTCCCCACCAATATTTGACGATTTGGGGAAATGCCTGCGGCTCTTGCCGGCACTGCATTCAGCTTGAGCCCTGTGTGAATCATCTCTCTAGAGAGATGGACTAAAGAGGCTGACCTGATTTACCCTCTGCTCTCAAGCCTTGAGGAAGGGGTTAGCACTGGGAGATACAGAAAATATGGGATACAGGAATACAGGAAATACAGTAAAAAATATCTCAGTATTTTGTAGCCTTTTAATGATGATATGTAATATATTTCTCCAACTTTGTGTGTGTGTGTGCGCGCGTGTGTGTGTTTATTACATTTATTAATATTAACAATGTAGAAAACGGTTGTTTTGCATACTATTTTTGTAGAAACAAGATTTTTTTTTTGTTGAATAGAAGGCACAGCATATATTGGGAATTAAAATCTTCTGGAATTTTATAAATGTCCTTACTGTCTTTTTTGATCAGTGCATCCTTGCTTAATAAAAGCATATATTGCTTTCTGACCGCAAACTTTTGAACAGTAGTGTATGCACCAATGCAAAAATACAGTATGTTGTAAACAGGCTGTATACTGTACATTTTTTAACTAAAATATTTTAAAGCATGAACATTTCCACAAGTCTTTGAGACTCAGTTCCAACTGATTCATTTAAATAGACAGTCATTATACAACATTATTTGATCATAGAATTATGTGAATGACCAGTCAGAATCCGGTAGTGTAATATTATCAAAAGTAACGTAATCAAAAGTATTTTGCCTAGCTACAGTGTCATGTCGACACATGTCTATAAACCCTCTGGTGTCAGCAGCTGTATTCTGCATTACTCAAACTAATTTGCAGCAGTTCCCTTTGTGTTTCTTATGTGCAATTCATTTGAGGGGCAGAATTACTCTCCTGATGTTAGTCTGGAGCCGACAGGTGTTCGCTGGGACCTCGTTAGCACCATTAGCATGATGAAGTTTCGCCTCCATGTGTAAAATAAACAGATTACAACACAGACAGGCAAGCAGCCCACTCTCAAGGCACTGCACACACTCCTTTAGACTTCCCATTGCACAGTTTTGTCATTAAGGTAATTAGTGTCAGCAGACACCACGCTAACGACACCTCACTGAGGCACTTCCTCTAATCTGCTTCCACAACCTTAGATGAAATGACACAGGCAGCAGAAAATGCAAAATCTCAAGCGTTTAACCTAATTTCAGACCTCGAATCTTAAAAGAGCAGTTTCTATGAGTGAACATGATAGAATTGTAGTCACGTTTATGTAGGTTTTGCATTAATAATGAACAGTCTGGCTATCAACAATGTGAAAAGAATATGTAAAATTTAGATGATTTATGAATAATTAATGCTATTTCTCTGGAAACCATCACTGGAAACAAATGTCTTAATCAAAAGGCTACATTAATATTTACTGTAGTCTCTTCCGGTAGACATGCTAATTAACGTGGATCCAAACTTAATTTTAACAAAGAAGGCCAGGAATGCTAGAAATGCTTGCACAACTGCATGTTGTGGCCTAGAGATATGACCATAAATTCTCAACAGGAATAATATTTATATTAGCCTCTTAACACTATACCACTTTTGCAGAAACATGTCTCCCTGAAAGTAATAAATTAGTTTGAAAGGCAATCAAATATCAGTGATTACTGGAAATATGCACCATCCAGGCTTTGCATTGTTAAAGTAATTGGAGTAATTTATGTTCTCCTTGTCCTTGAATAAGAAAGTCCTCTTTTTTTCTTTCTTAGGACCTGTTTGTCTTTTCTTGGTGTATGCACAGGATTGTCTTCTCTTCAATTAATAATTCATTTTTTTGAATCCATTATTAAAATGTCTTCATGAATTATAGCTATCAGCTCTTCAATATGCATTAAATAAATGGAGAAAGATGCAGGATATAAAAAATAGAGTCAGGCTCTGTATGGTGGTCGTATTTCTCAAATAAGACATTAATGTCGCTATGTACAGTCAGAACTACTCATGCGCACTCATTAATGACTTAATACGCCTTTAATACGGGATTTTTTTTTTATTATGCTGCAATGAAAGTAATAAATTTCTCTTAATAATAACAGTAGGTGGAATCACTTGTGCCTACTATGTTGGGTAATGCTTTGGCTCACTGAGTGTGTCATCTTGTGTTTTCCAGGCTTTCTAAACATTCAATCCTGGCCAGAAAACATGACTGATCTGAGTGTCTTCTCCAGTCTGGTAACCATCGGAGGCAGGTCTCTCTACAGGTAAGATCCAAGGCTCACTCTATGTTGCCAGCTCCAGAAACAATCACCTTCCTTCTCCTACTTCCGCAGGTTTAATACTGCCTTCAGGTGCACCTGGGAAACTCAGTCAGGCATTCATTATTACATGTCATGCATTCAATTCAGAAACATAGCATGGAAATAACCTAAACAAAACAAAATAATTATATTGTGAACAATAAACCCAAATATCTACATCTGAATTCAAAATAATGAGAATTATTCATTTCTATCACTTGTTTACACATGGTATGAAAAGTAAATGTTTGTAAACTATGAAACATGATCGGTTCAGTTTACACTTGTTGTCCTTCTGTGGTTCCGTAATCAAACCTTTAAAATACTTTTAAAAAGCCTTTAAAAATTGAAATACAACAACATGTAAAATTAAAATAACTTGCAAAATCCATTGTAAATCATTATACACTGAAAAAAGTTTCATTCATCCAATTAAAAAAAATGTGGGTAATGATTCACATCTATATTTTTTAACTTGAGCCTATGAAAAATAAATAACTTTTTTAATTGGATGAATGAAACATTTTTCAGTGTAAATTGTTTTCTACTCACTGAAATCTATATATTATACATCAGTGTTTTGCTGTATTTAATCATTTGCATCATTCTTTTTAGCGAATTGGGCTAAAACAGTGCAGACAGCATGTGCAAATAAACAGCGTAACTCATTTTTAGTGAATACCCTCTTTTGTGTTTTCTAAAGAGGCCAAGGCTTTATTGCCAAGAGTTCAAAGAGTACGAATGAAAAGCTGTATTCACACAGTGCAACACCCATTTGCTTAGAGTTAAAGAGTCAGGAAAGACAGAAGAGAGTGGGAGCGCATATCCACCAGCCTGTTTTAACATTAGTGGGGTCATTTGCTGAAAGCTGTACCACTGTACCAATTACCGTCTGTCACATGATGTGCTCTGTGTCTGATGTGTCTGGCACAAAACACAGAGAGAAAAACAGAAGAGAAGTCTCTGGGAGGCAGATCAACGAGATGAGAGCAATGTCAGTGTCTAAGTGCACCTGCACATTCTGCCGCTGCTCTCTGACTCTCTGCTGATGGCCGTCTCAAAGCCCCTTTGATGTGCTCTTCAGCACGCCTGCCTGTGATTAAAAACACCATTGTGATTACGCCTCGGCATTAACCGATCTCATCACATCTGAAGTGGGAGATCCTCAGCGATGCTAGATGGGGGACGCAAGCTAAACACTTGCTTTAGAAATGGAACAGCATCTCTCATACTGACAAGTCACTCGTGCCTTTTGTTCATGAAGCCATCATTGTAGATTTCTTTGAGTCAGATCTCATTCTTTTGTTTCATTCTTATTCATTCTGATCTTTTTTGTCCATTGGGTCTCAAAGTCTTCAGGCTAAACAAAGTTTGGTCTTCTTTGTTGTTTTGGATGTTAAAATTATGGCTGTCAATTTATTGTGTTAATTTAGATTTATTCATTATTTAAAAAGTAAAGTTTTTTTATAAAATACATAAAATGTAATGTAATATAATTTTTTTTTTTAATTTATATTAATAGTTTTGCAACATTTGTTTGTTTATTTAGATTGATTGATTGATTGATTGATTGATTGATTAATTTCTCATGCATCTAATCCAACATTTCATTTGCTAATTCCAAAACACCATTTTAGATTCAAGCCAATCAGATTCAAGCATTCGATGGTGTCATAGTGTGTGTGTATATATATTTTTGTTAATATACATCATTAAATATTCATAAATAGTAAACATAAAGGATTGTGCAATTTTCATAGCAAAATTATAAATGTGATTCAATTGATTAAATATTATTTATTTGTGTGTGTGTAAAATTGTGTGTGTATTCAGTTATGACATTTCATAATTAAATGAACCCCTCTTTAAAATGGGTACCCTCTCCTGTTTTTTCTCTTGTGTTCAGTGGCATCTCTCTTCTGGTGCTAAAGCAGCAGTGGATTTCCTCACTGAAGCTGCAGTCTCTCAGTGAGATCAGTGCTGGAAACGTGTACGTCACCAACAACAGTCAACTCTGCTACTACAGCACCGTCAACTGGACGCGACTCTTCCGCACCAACACCCAGAAGGCCCTGATCCGCAACAACCGCGACCCCAAGGAATGCAGTGAGTCCATCGCTCTGTTTTACTACAGTTCCATTTGGCTTTGAGATAAATTAGCCAAAGCCAAGATATTTGACTTGCGGTCTGGTCAAGTAATGTCTTCTAAGAGGGGTGTCTTACATACAATTTTAAAAAGAAGATGTGTTAAGGCTAAGATTGTGTTCAGACTCCCAGCTGCTGTTTGTCCTGGTTCACCCGAACCACAGAGAGAGTTCACGACGTCTCACGCAGAGCTCGCTGACTTTTAGGCAGTAAACTCAGTCACTTTGTAAGGTGCTGGTGCAGCTCCCTCATACCTGTCGTTCTGCCTGGGTCAGTGCACCTCACTGAGCCTAGCGGGGGCCATGAGGGCCCCGGGTTCCTCTGCAGATGGAGGGGGTCAGGAGGTGTCAGATGATCAGAGTCTCACTCTGCTGTGAAAGACGATGCAAGCACCCTACCACGTACTCCCTTTTTACCCTTCAAAATCACCCCAAGATCCAGAACACAGAGTCCTTTGAGTTATTTTTTGAAGACTTGAAGTGTGGAACAATGTTACCGTAAACCTGGAAAATACCCCAAATGCCTCAGGTTTATGCGTGGACAGCCAATCTAATTACCCATTCTCTGCAAATGTTAAGTCGCTCCATAAACGATCACAGGGAATTAATTGCAGGGAGACCCTTCAACAATTTCTGACATTTCAGAATTTATTTTTTATTTTTTTCAGGAGAAGCTGTAATCACCATGGGGAATTTACTTTGACCTCTGTCTTTTCTCGCTGCCGAGTGATGTTTATGACTATCTAAAAAGCTGTTTTTGGCCTTCTTTTCCATTGCGCAGGATGTTGTGATGCAACAGCAATCATTAATGTCTCGTGGCAACCGTAGCCTTTTGTAGGGTTTAGCGATCCCCGTGGCTCTTACCTATCTCCCTGGAAACCAACCCAGCACTGCTTTTGACGTCAACGCAACCCAAATTGTGTGTTTTCAACCAGGTTAAAACTTTGAAGTTGGCATCTTTTTGATCCATCTGCCACAAACGTACAGCTGAACGGGCTTCCCACTTCTCTGTGTTGCTCCTCATGCTGTTGGATACCAGCTCTAAGCACCAAGTTGGTTCTTGAACTGGTACATGTTGTTCCCTGAGAAATGCTGGGCTTTTGTATAGTGCTCTCTGGAGTGCTTTTACATGTCATTGCTCATTCATTCACTGATTTTTGCAAATAAATGTAAGCACATAGAAAAGAATTCCTCCCAGGTGTTCAGCAGTGCTTACAGTAAAATAGAAATCTCTCCTTAGGGAATCAGTCCTCAAAAATTCATTCTTTCTAATTGAAAGCAATTTTTCCCTTACATATTATGTTAGCAGCATAACTATTTGAGTGAAAAGTTGAATTTAAAAATTTACATAAATGTCAAATCTAAAGTTTAGTCTTCTTTGTTGTTTTGGATTATTAATTTGATTATTTAAAAAAAAAGTATCAAATTTAAAACAGAATATATGTATGCATGTATATATATATATATATATATATATATATATATATATATATAGCTGACTTATATAGTGTAAATGTGTAGTATCTTATTTGTTTAAAGTTTAGTCTTTATTGTTTTGGATGTTTAAAATTATGGTCAGTTATTTTATAAAATATATGCAAATATTATACCACATAAATAACTGTAAGCTGTATAGTTTAAAAAAATGTTGTATTATAGTTATTTAATTATTTACATCTATTT